GAAGAAAATATGCAACCATCCTTCCTTCATCCCCACAGGGAAGCCCCTCTCAGTGACAACCTTGAGGGAGCCAGGCAGGATGACAGGCAGGCCTATTCTTTTATTTATTTATTTATTTATTGGCAACATTGGGTTTTAAACTCAGGGCTTTAAGCTTGCTCTAGGCAGACCTATTCTTGCATGAAGATTGGAGTGTGGGCCTACCCACTAGGCTGGACCCTTTGCACTTGTGAATCAAGAATGTGTTCATGAATTAAAGTGATCAGATGACTCTTTTCTGGGAGTAAACAAGTAGTAAAGCACTTGCTTAGCAAGCACAAGGCCCTAAATTTGCCCTCGCAGTACCACCACACACACAAAAAAAATGTCCAAAAATCCTTGGACATTTATTTTTCCCTCAATCCTTTTTTGTGGGACTGGGACTTGAACTAAGGGCTCACAGTTGCAAAGCAGGCATTCTACCTCTTTAGCCATTATTTCCAGCCCTAACATGAATATTTTTAATCAATAAGGAGCCTGTAGATTGGATGCCAGCCTCAGTGGGGACTGAGTTTATCAGCCATTTTTACCTTTAGCCTCTTTGTCATTCCTAAAAGGAGTCAGCCCACCAACCTCACACAAAATCTGATCATTCCCAGAAATTAAGTGTAGCAATAGAGTTTTTTTTTTTTCTTTTTTGCAGTTCCAGGGATCAAACTCAGGACCTTGTATAAGCTAAGCAAAGTACCATTGAGCTACAACCTCTGCTATTCAGCTATTTTTAGAGCAGAGTTAATATCTTTTTTTTGGGGGGGGGCAGTACTGGGGTTTGAACTCAGGGCCTTGTGCTCACTAAATAGGCACTCTTATCACTTGAACCACTCCACCAGCCCGAGTCAATATCTTAATAACATCCTTAGTAAGGCCTTGTCCATGTGGTTTTCAAAATGTATTTATTAACTTATTGCACTGACTTAACTTTATGCGTTCAAGCAGAGACTTCAGGCTTGGTAGATGTATAAAAAGACTAAAGAGACATCCCTAATGATGAGCTCAGCAAGTATGGTAAAAGTGTTGGTACAGGTTATTAGCTGGTACTTGGAAGTAGGCCCAATAGGAAGTACACTAGCACCATCAGTGAGTTCTTAGAACAGAATTCTGTTTTGCTTAAGCATGGTGTGAAGGACAATTCAACATGTGAAAGAGAGAAAAAATAAACTTTCAAGAAAAACCAAGTAGTTGATGGGTTATACTTTGTTGAGGGGAAGTGAGACTTTCGTTTAATTAGCAGTAACTTTCATAGAAATAGTCAATCCCTTCACTCAGCAGATACTCACTGAGTGCCTAGCATAGGTCAAGATCATTCAAAGTACAGCAAAATTCCTGCTGTCAAGGAAATGGAGAAAAACCATCATTGCCATTTCTGAGATGTGGAAAGACCTCAGGAAGAGAGAATTTGGGAGGGAAAACTAAAGAGTTTGGTTTGAGACAAATTTGGTAGGGAATATCTGAGGACATATACATTGGAGTATAAATTGGTTAATTTGTCTAAGTGTCAATAAAATGATGTAATTCCATTAAGAATTAAAAAACAATAAAAGAGCAAGAATCATCTCAAAAATTAACAAAATAACATGGAAAAAGAGAAGAGAAAAGACAAAGCAAAGTAAATAACTTATAACATCTGAACAGTAAAAATTCAAGAGGGAAAGTGGGGGAAGTCCCCACACAAACAAAACGGGTGGGGGAAGGGGAGGTGGCCCAAACAATGTACACACATGTGAGTAAATGTAAAAATGATGAAATAAAAAAAAAGAGGGGTGACAATTATCAATGAATAGTTACATTTGTCAGGACTAACGAGCCTAAGGTTTTAACTGTAAGGGTTCAGAATACCAAGCACACAGGATGAAAACACCTTCACCAAGGGACATCACCATGGGCTATTGGAGAAAAACAAGGTTTGAGAGCTATGAGAGGGAAAAAACCTGCTTCCATGTAAACAGCTATTAGAAGACTACAGACCAATGCTTTGGAAATTCTGAAGGATCATGCTGTTAAATTAACAGCAATGGGAGAAGAAAATAACATTTTCAGGCATTTACAATCTCAGAAATTTTGCTCCTAACAGCATGGGAACCTATATAAAGGTGCATGCCACCAAAAAGAGAGAACAAACAAGTAAAGGGACTACACAAGACACAGAGAACAGGAAATCAAACCTAACAGGCAAAGGGAACCACCAGGATGGGGGTAAGAAATAAACACCAGGCAGAGTGGGCTGCCAGCCTGGACTGGAGCAGGGGCCAGGGTTCCACAGTTCTGTTGCCTCCTCCTTCACATGAGCTTATGAGCAGAGTAAGTCAGAAAAACAATTCCTTTATTGAAATGGGTATCAGCTAAGGCTGAGACCCTAAAGATACTGTTCCTAACACAAATGGCTTAAACAGAAGCTTCACAATTCTTTTAATCATTATCTTAGCAAGAACATTGTTTCCTAATGCTGAAATGCAGAAAAAATCTGAGGCTGGGAACCAGTGGCTCACACCTGTTATCCCAGCTTCTCAGAAGGCAGACATCAGGATTGAGGCTCCTGACCAGCTCAGGCAAAAAGGTTGGCGAGACCCCCATCTCAGTAAGGTGGGTGTGGTGCCAAGAGCCTATGATCCAAGCCATGTGGGAAGCCATAGGAAGGATATCACAGTCTGAGGCTGCCCCAGACAAAAATGTGAGACCATACCTGAAAAATAACTAAAGCAAAAAAGGGCTGGGGGCATGGCTCAAATGGTAAAGCCCCTGCCTACTAAGCATGAGACACTGAGTTTAAAACCCAGTACTGCCAAAAAAGAAAAAAAAAAAAGAAGCCTGAACTCAAGAATTCTAGTCATACATAACTCAACATGCAGATACACACACTGATAAATAGCAGCCATCATTAGGGTAGCTAGGGTACAGGTTTTTGGGAGAGAGAGACCAACTTTTTCCATTCCCTGCAAAATGTGTTTTGACTTATGTATTACAAGTAGAGTGGATTAAAATGGAATGAAAGTACTTCAAAATCATAAATAGCCTAACTTTGTGGAACTTAAACATATAAAACTGTATCTAATATGTGCATTGTAAATAAATGTGTTCAAGGGGTCATGATGGAATTTTTTTCTCAGTACTGAGGATGAAAGCCAAGACCTCACTAATACTAGGTGAGCACTCTACCACTGAGCTATACCCTCAGCCCCGGAAAGTATTTAACATGGGTTGCAAAGAAGTTTGAAAGTGGTAAGAAAATGCTTCCCTACAACACTTACTGAGCACTACTCGATCTAGCTGTCTGTGTGCTAGTAGGTGGATATTTACATGGACTCAGAACATAACCTTGCAAAAGTACCCCAGGCTATGTGTCCCCCCATGCTTACTCTAGACCTTTATGGTGTTTGGGAAAGCCTTTGGACAACTGAGAACTTCTGCAGAGCATACCCCTCTGGGGAAACTATGAAAAAAAAAATACAGATGACAAAACACCATTGCTGTATCATTGTTTAATTTTAAGGAATATTATTCTAAAACAAAATCATTATTAATAAAATCATAGGACTATTCCAATCTTTTCTAATATCTTCTGTAACATTCCACTCAGAAGGTAGAAAACCACAAAGTTCTTCCCTGAGGAAGGGCACAAATGGAATATTATGCTGCACTGCTGTACTGTCTATAAGGTAAACTGTGAGGACAAGTAAATTGAATCTCGCATTTTCCCCTTGACCATTTCTGCTAAAGAACTGCTCATTCTAGGAATGATAAGCCTTCCCCGCTTAGCACGATGACGATGTTGCTTCACACCCACACCCACCCTGTGGTACAGCTAAGACAAAGGACCCTCAGCTTTACTTGTCAATTGATCTGTTAGAGAAATCATGCACACAATTATTTTTGCCAAAATTCTCCAAATGTAACATTTAAAGAGGCAAAATTTAATCAAGGTCATTTGGGCACTACACTGGAACTACAAACATACCGTTTGTTCAGCTTCATAGCAACAGCACCCTGCAACAATCAAGGACACAATTGTCTTTTTAAACATCAAGAGTCTGCAGTAAACAGAAAGGACATTTGCACAAGGCAGAAGAGCCTGGTTCTTCGTAGTAGACAGAAGATAACGGTTTTAGGTTCACAGATAGGTGTAATCTGTAACTTGATTCTGTGTGATCAATTTTTAAGTCATAGCTATACATCTTAACAGTCTATTTTAAATTAGTACTTTAAAAAAAAATAGTCTCACTACAAAGTCCATGCTGGCCTCTATCCTACTGCCTCTACCTCCTGAGTACTGGGATTACAGGTATGTACTACTGTACTTGACCATTAGTACCTTTTTATACAAGTTTTTTTCTAAAAACAACCTACCAAATTCAACCTAGGACTATTTCCTTCACTGACCACTTTTTTTTTTATTAGCCACTTATACTCCCAAGTTTGGTTAGTGGAATCACAAGACTGGCAAGCCTACCAGTCTAGGGAAGTTTTCCTGGTTGCAAACTAATGCCTTGCTATGGAGCCATTAATTAAGATCAAAGTGAGCTCTGAAGTAGATACAAAAATGAGTGAAATGACTTATTTCCGATAATGTCAGTTTTTAAGGCAGATAGTTGGTAACTCTAAGAGTCACTCAAGTGTTAAAATGGCACCCTGGAAGTGTGTCATAGCAAAATCTCATTTTCTATTAGTTTCATCACATGGGAGGAATGGGGGAATGACTCACTGGAATATGGGAGAACTGGTTAGGCAATAGAGGCAAACCTCTTCTTATAGGTCCACAGGAAAGAAAATGACTTTTGGTGCCAAGTGGCTTACATTTATCCCCAGCAAATCAATTCAGTCCCCTCAGATCTACTATGTGCCTGGGAAAAGGTAAAAAAAACACTTCTATAAAAGGTAAAGACTAAATGAAAACTAAGAGTTCACTCTAGAAAGATGTAAATGAAAATGGCCCTGGAGAAGGAGCACCACATGTTGGTATTAACAGATTTTTTTTTTTTTTTTTTGTAACTGAAGCAATCTACTTGTCATATACACAGCACAGAAACACAACCCACCGAAAAAAGGTCATGCAGAAAAATTAGATTCATAATAGAAAAGAACATACACACCTAAAGTAGGCAAAAAATATGGTTTATGTTAAAAAAATGTGCAAAAGTAATTTCACTATGAAACCCCTTGGTTTGCATGATTTAGTACTTATTTCATATTAACCAGACCTTATTGCTCTGATCTCTGTCATCTATGTTTTAGAACATTTATTTAAAAATATCTATTTCTAAGCCATGCAATCTGTACCTGTGTAGCCATGTGTAAGATTCCATTTGGTATTCTGAAGCTAAGATATTAAAAGATAATTAAAATAATTTTTAAAAATCTCAAGTCACAGACTAACAAATATTCTACTTCCCAAGTTTTCGGGACTACACTACTAAAAGTGACTTGTATTAATGCATTCTAGGTTTTCAGATAAAAATACAAGTCTATGGTTACTGGTCAAAAGCAGTTAGATTGAGAGGACCTTTATAAAACGGCCATGAATTTCTAAGTCAAATTGTTCTCAGAACTGGACCATAATATATGGAATGCCTTTTCTTAGTTCCAACCTTTTAAACTTTGCAATCATGCCTTTTATGTGCTTTAAACTGACATGCTGACTTTGCAATCTATACTTTGTAAGAGAGTAGGTAATTCTAGCACAGAAGAAACCACATAGTGTGGAATGGGGGATGATGTCACTGGCAATCTTCCACTTCTGTTTATCCATACTGTTGCTTTCAGCCCTGCATTAAGGCCTCCTTGTATATCAGTTTCTAATGTGTCACCAATCATCACACAGTCCCCAGGCTGTACTCCAAGGAGATCACAGCAGTGGTAAAATATGGAAGGTGCTGGCTTCTCTTCTTTCTGCTCTCCACCTATAACAATAGCATCAAAGTAGGACTGACAAGCACAAGCCTCAATCTTCTCTCTCTGTGTCTGTCTGTCCCCATTTGTTAACAAGAGCAGGCGGACCTCCTTTCGAAGTTCAGTGAGCATGGCTTTGACATCTTCCGCTAGGGTCATATGCTGTAAGCGCGTAGACTTCCACAGGAAGTAACATTCTTCAGCCAGTTTCCTATTGTTAGCACCACCTTTTGTTTCCTGGATTGCTTCTTCCCAGTGCGAAGTCCTCAGATCTGTAATACATGTACTGTAGGGATGAAAACATTCCTTGCTGAGTTTAACTTGAACTTTATCACAGATGACTTCAGCCTCTTCTTTATAATGGTATTTTGATTGTAAGAGCTTTATTACCTAAACAAGAGAAAACAACTTGGTTAACACACTTTGTGTCTTTAACAGTTATACCCTGAGAAGCTGTGGTGTTTCAGTGGCTAAGAGATTCTGAAGCAGCCTCTGTTACCACATCATTTATGATGGGACTTTGTCTTAGCTTTAGAGACACAATAGAGAATGTCCCAATTTTTCTAGGCAACTCATTTGTATTTTTGTTTTAAACCAATTTCTAGTCTGAGATGATTCTTGACACATAGCCAATTACAAGACTTCATTATTTGGCAGTTTTAAGTCCACCCCAGTTCATTCTGATCACAAAGATATGACAATAAAACTTGTGCCTTTATTTAGTAAAACATTTTAAATTTCTGACAAGCATTGTTTAGATATTTTCCAGAAAAAATAATGCTAGGTCATCTAACCTTTCCTCACCAACATCCATTTCACACTTTTTTTTCCCTCCCAGTGCTGGGGATCAAACCCAGGCCATGTTAGGCAAGTGCTTCACCACTAAGCTACATTCTTATCCATTTCACCTGCCTTTTAACATTCACAAAGAACCCTAATGTGGCAAGCATTATTACTAAATGTACATATACACTACTTTTAACCTTTTCTTAACTCTGCAAGGGAATTCCCTTTACAAGATGTAGCTATCTAAGTTCAGAACTGTTAACTTGCCCAAGCTGGGATGTGAATCCATACTTGCCTACTTCCAAAGCCCACATGCTGGCCTTATACTATGTACTGGAACCTGAAGAGTGGGTTCCTTATTCTTGGGATATTATCTTGGCAGGGAAAAGAAGCAGGTACACAATCACCACAAATGCTCAGTTGAGTCCACGAGAGTTGAGTGAACAAGAAATGTGGAAGTAAGCCGAGTGCTGGTGGCTCACACCTGTAATCCTAGCTACTCAGGAGGCAGAGATCAGGAGGACTGTGGTTTGAAGTCAGTCCCTAGCAAATAGTTTGAGGGACCCTATCTTGAAAAAAACCCATCACAAAAAAAGGGTTGGTGGAGTGGCTCAAGGTGTAGGCCCTGAGTTCAAACCCTAGTACTGCCAAAAAAAAAAAAGTACTAGTTAAGAAAGTCTTATTAGCGCAAGTAAAATACACCAGCCCTAACACTGAAAATTTTGCATTGCAAAGTTAAATTTCAATGAACATATTTTTCTACTTCATGGTCATGTCACTATCTTTTCAGCAACACCAACTGAATTATTCTTAAGGTATGACTGAAGGGCACTTTAAAGTTTCAGCAGCCCACCGCTACATAGTAAAAGGACACAGGCCTCTTTAGACTCCACAATGCTAGAGAACAAATAGGGGCTGGTTTGTAGCTAAATAGAGAGCTTCGAATAATGATCCACCTTCCTGCTACTGAAATTGGCAATACCTTAACCTTACTCAGGGCTCTGAAAAAGTGGGATCAGCTCCCCTTAAAGGAAAGGTGTGGCAACTGCTCTCCAAGTTTCAAACTTTCTAATACATCACTGGGATGTTAATAACTTGCCCATTAATCAAGCACCACAGCTGTCTTACAGCAACTATTTACAGATTTGTTAGGAGCGGTAAGTAGGGTTTTAATATTAACATCTTTATGAAAAAAGCTAATCAGTCATCCTCATGATAATTATTAGCTAAAACAGAAACAATACCTAAGTTGAATTAGTACATGTTGTTATAAACTCTCCTAGCACCTGCACTGAGACAATGGAGTTTTTGATTAAACTGGAGACGGAGGAAAAAGTTCGCTAACTTGGACTTGGGAGGGCATTTTGTGCTTGAGGTAAGACAGGCTTGGAAATTCGGATTCTGATACAGTGAGCCCACCAAGTATCTGTAGGCCTGAAGAAAGGGGCTCTACAGTAGTAAGAGGATTATCAGTTTGTAGATTAAAACAAACAAACTTCATTCACTTCAAAACTCTAATGTTCTCTCTAAACATATAAAAAAGCTCTATTCTTTTACACGTGCTCCCTGGATCAAGAATGAAAGGCACTGCCATGAATATTAGGTTTTAGCTAACTGCAATTTTAAAGGGCTTTTTTGGAGGGCTAGTTTGAGAATTGTACAACACTTAACAATTTAAGTATTTTTTAAAAAATTTATCGGCAGTACTGGGGTTTGAACTTAAGGCCTCACACTAGCGAGACAGGTGCTCTTCCACTATAGTCACTCCACCAGCCCAAGAAAAGTAAAATGTTTTCTGAATACCAATTATTTGGATATGAAGGGGCTGAATTTAAAAATACACACAAAATATGATGACTGCCTGCACACAGCCTAGCAATTCAAGTAGCCCTTATTATTTCTAGTTCGTCTTAACTCAAACATCATCTTTTAAATAAGGCCAAATCTGACCGACCTATTTAAAATTGCAATTCAATGCACCCCTCCACTTTTTCTGACACACCTATAAATATAAATGTATATATTATGTTCACTGTCATCCTCACTAGAAAGTAAATTTACAGATGCAGAAATCTTTCCTGTTTTGTTTAATGAGAAAACATAAATTTCTATAGAAGTCTGCCTCTTGAGTAGTGACACTGAAAAATAGGCCTGAAAAGGATGAGAAAAAAATAACTTTCCTAGATGACCTTTAAAAAAATTACAGCTGAAATATACATTTAGTATATGACTCCTCCCCAAACCCAAGGCAAAGACTGGACCTTTCCCTGTTCATTCATAAATCACTCAGAATCATTTAGGAAAGCCAGCACATTACTTTTGAATAGGTCAATATTTATAAGTGGTGTTGTATCCTTCATGAAATAGTATTCATGACATTCAAATTTGCTCTTTCATAAGCTATTTATAAAGGTGATAACAGAACCAAGATTTGGAGACTAGAAGTTTTATCTACCCATCTAGTACTCATTCAACACTTACCATGTGTCAACCAAAGATAATTAAGACAGCATATTCCCTCCCAGGAAACTCACAATTTAGTTGCAGGCATGTGAGTTGTAAAAATTAATGATAACATCCTTTGACAGGTGCATTAAGAGATATCAGAACAACAAAATATAGTGCTAGTGTGAGAGTGTAAAGAACATGGAGAATGAGTCTTTTTTCTTTTTTGAGATGGGGTCTAGCTATGTTGCCCAGGTTGGCCTCACACTCCTGGCTCAAGTGATCCCCCTGCCTCAGTCTCCCAAGAGTTTTTGTTTTAGAACTTACACTGTGGCAGGGATGTAGAGGGTGAACTGGATGTGGTCAGCCTGGAGACAAGGCCACAGCAACAGTCTAGATGAGGGACAAATCCAGCTATAACTAAGACAATAGCAAGAGGGATATTCTATAGGGGTCAGTTGATTGAGTGAACACTGGATGCTACATACTTCCCATGCATTGTATTAAACCTACCTGATAGGGTTATTGAGGACTGATATCATTATTCAAATTTTATAATGAGGATTTGAGGCTTAGAATGGTTAAGGAACTTGATAAGGCACTTTCAAGTTAGATGTTGGGATCTAGCTGTGATTCAAATCAAATGCCTAATTTTAAAGCCTGAACTCTTGGCCTACAGAAGGGTTAGCCTCAAAGAAGAATTTAATTCCAGCATAGTGGGCTTAGCTTGCTAAGAACACACAAGTAAACATACTATAGGCAGCTAGAGATACCAGAGAGGGTATAGCACAGAGCGGTGCCCCTGAAGTCAAGGTCAAGGGTGTGAAGCCGGAAGAGAAAAATCTATGGTGTGCAAGGCATCAAGGCCATAGATTTAATCCCCAGATTAAAAATGATGGGGATTGTACTCAGTGGTAGAGCCCTTGTCTAGTATGGCAAGGCTGTGGATTCAAACCAGCACTAGAGAGAGCGTGAGAAAAAAAAAAAAAGGCAGATTCAAAATGTCCACTGATTCTGGCACTTTGGTTAGAGGCCTAATAACTGGCAAGTCTATTGTATTGTAGTGGTGGAGACAAAAGCTATCCTGTACTGAATTTATAAACAAACAGGGTTAGAGACATGGAAATAATGGATGTGGAATTCTCCTAAAAACATACCTAGGTATGTTTCCTGCTTCTACTGCAAGAAGCAAAGTCAAAGGGAGGTGTTTTAATATTTTTTAAAAAGTATGAAATAGATATGATCATGCAATGGAATGTACCAAAAAAGGATGAAGGGGTTAAAGATCCAGGGAGACAAAAACCACCTGAAGAAGCACCAAAAAAAGGACACTCAGGGTTATAAGGATTGGCTTTTTAAAGTAGTTTTTTTTTTTTTTTTTTTTTTTCTAGCTATTCAGGAGGTGGAAATGGGGAGGATCCAGATTGGAGGCCAGTCAGGGCAAAAAGCTCGCTGAGACCCCCATCTCAACAAATAAAAAAGCTGGGCGTGGTGGTGCATGAATGTCATCTCAGCTACACCGGGAAGGGTTTAAATAGGAGGATGACTGTCCAGGCACTCCAGGGTATAAAGTCAGACCCTATCTCAAAAATAACCAAAAGCAAAAGGGAAAAAAAAAAAAGGGATCTGGGACGTGGCTCGAATGGTGGAGCGCCTGCCTACCAAGCACGAGGCCCTGAGTTCAAACCTCTGTATGCCAAAAAAAAAAAAAAAAGTGCCTTTTTCATATCTGATAATCTTCGATTTCTCTTTGAAGATGAAGGCAGAGGAGGAAAGCAGGGGTGGTTTAGGAGCTGTGAACATGGGGGACATAGTCTGCAATACCATCCGTAGGTACAGGAAGCTATGGAAGGAGGACACGGCTCAGCAATGCTTCATTAAAGGGATGCCTGTGGAGCACGAAGTCTACGGGGGTCCGACCACAGCAGGCCCGGGAGGTTGGCAGTAAAAAACAAAACACAATTCATATTCAGAGTTTAGTCCATGATCGCCTCTGTTACGTAACTTCTTGGGTTTAAAATTGGGCTTCCTTATCTGAGTCTTCTCAAAGTCCCACCCAAGACGACTCTTCCCCGAGGTCCACCCACCCGTGCTCCACTCAAGCACCTGCCACGGCGTGGTGACTGTCTACCTGTGTTTGTGGGCGACTAAGCCATCGTGGCAGTTTTAAGTACATCCTTCCGGGTCCCGGCCGTTGGAACCGCCTGCAAGAAGCCCAACTCCCAGAGCCTGGGCGCCGGGCTCAGGAAAAGCAGTTCCCCTGCCCGCTTGACTGCCACCCCGCTCACCCTTTCCCGGGTTCTCCAGCACCGGGACAGGTGCTGAGGTGTCCAAAGTCGAGCGCTGCCCGTCCTCCGGGGGCTGGGGAGTGGGCGTGGGGGGACACTGGGACGCTAAAGCGCGCGGTACTGGGTTTAAGCATGTTGACCCCATCCGGAGGAGGACCAAGGGCGCGGGGACATTACCTCCAACATGCCTCTCCTGCTGCCCCGGCCGTGTCGATGAGTGTGTTATCCAGGTCAAAGAAAACGGCCCGTACCCGACTCAGCCCCATAGCTACAGCTGTCCAAATTACCAGCAAACCAGCCGGCGTAGCTCGCGCATGCGCGACGCAGACATGCGCGCAGGGAAGATGTAGGCGGAGTCGTGAGGTCATCTGACCCTCCCGCGTTGCCAAGCGCCACAGAGACTGTAGCTTCTGTGGAACCCTCGCGAGATATTTCAATACCTGAACTGCTGAGAACGGCGAGATCCCGCGAGACTCTAGAACTACAAAGTAAGCGGAAGTTGGGCATCTATGTAGTTGGCTGGTTAGTGTTCTGATTCTTGTGTACATGACTGTAGGCGGCATTTTCTTTCTTTCTGGTTTCTTTTATTTCTCTGTAGTCCGCGCGTGAGGAGTACGCACCGGGGAGGTGTCTTGTGCTGTGTAGCCCTGGAGGGGACTGAGAAGCTGGCTTTTCAGTTGGGCCGGATGTTAGCACCTTGGGAGCAGCTGGTGGCTCCGAAAGGTGGCTGGCCCTAAGTCGGGGTCTTTCAGCAGTTATGGGACAGGTCTTTGTCAGTTTACAGACCCCAGAGAGGGTGCAGAGTTGTGACAGCCTGTGCTTTCAAAATCTCACTCAACAGCTGCTTACGGGCTCTGTTTTCCAACCGTCTTAATATCCTTACTTCGTAATGCTGGCCTTGATAGAACTGGAGCCCTTGTTTGACCCCTAGGACGCTCTATAGTGTCTGCCTGATGTTTTGCCCATCTTAGTTGCTTTTCTTGAAACCTTGCATCCCAGGTTTCTGCATACCTTTTAATTGAATGGTTTTTTGGTTATAACAAAAGGGTTAGGGACCTTAGACAATCTGTTAACCCCCCTCCCCCAGAAGGGAAATAAGATTTATCTTCTAGTAGAGCAAGGGTCTTGATACGCTCATCCTTTTTGTCACTGTTAGGTAACTAATGAATTTTGAATGTGCAGCTGTCGTCATTAGTGAAGAGAAATTGTCTATCAGGTTGATCACGGCGACAGGCTAAAAGAGGCCTGTCACCTGATTTTTTTTTTAACCTATGAGCTAGGAATGGTTCTTTGATTTTTTTTTTTTTTTTGCGGTACTGGGGCTTGAACTCAGGGCCTATACCTTGAGCCACTCCACCAGCTCTTTTTTTATTGTTTTATTATTCATATGTGCATACAAGGCTTGGGTCATTTCTCCCCCCTGCCCCCACCCCCTCCATACCCAGCAGAAACTATTTTGCCCTTATTTCCAATTTTGTTGAAAAGAGTATAAGCAATAATAGGAAGGAACAGGGTTTTTGCTGGTTGAGATAAGGATAGCTATACAGGGAGTTGACTCACATTAATGTCCTGTGTGTGTGTTACCTTCTAGGTTAATTCTTTTTGATCTAACCTTTTTTCTAGTTCCTGGTCCCCTTTTCCTATTGGCCCCAGTTGCTTTTCAGGTATCTGCTTTAGTTTCTCTGCGTTAAGGGCAACAAATGCTAGCTAATTTTTTAGGTGTCTTACCTATCCTCACCCCTCCCTTGTGTGCACTTACTTTTATCATGTGCTCAAAGTCCAATCCCATTGTTGTGTTTGCCCTTGATCTAATGTCCACATATGAGGGAGAACATACGATTTTTGGTCTTTTGGGCCAGGCTAACCTCACTCAGAATCATGTTCTCCAATTCCATCCATTTACCAGCGAATGATAACATTTCGTTCTTCTTCATGGCTGCATAAAATTCCATTGTGTATAGATACCACATTTTCTCGATCCATTTGTCAGTAGTGGGGCATCTTGGCTGTTTCCATAACTTGGCTATTGTGAATAGTGCTGGAATAAACATGAGTGTGCAGGTGCCTCTGGAGTAACCTGTGTCACAGTCTTTTGGGTATATCCCCAAGAGATGCTGGATCAAATGGTAGATCAATGCTTAGCTTTTTAAGTAGCCTCCAAATTTTTTTCCAGAGTGGTTGTACCAGTTTACATTCCCACCAGCAGTGTAAGAGGGTTCCTTTTTCCCCACATCCTCGCCAACACCTGTTGTTCGTGGTGTTGCTAATGATGCACCAGCCCTTTTTTATGTTAAGTATTTTCAAGATAGGGTCTCACGGAATTAATTGCCAGGAGCTGGCTTCGAACCGCAATCCACCTGATCTCTGCCTCCTGAATAGCTAGGATTACAGGTGTGAGCCACCGGTGTCCGGCGGTTCTTTGATGGTTGAAAAAAAGAAAAGAGTATTTCGTGACACGAGAAAATTAATGAAATTCAAGTTTTGTTGTCCGTTATTTTAGTGTATTAAGTTGAGTAAGGTTTGGAACAAATCTGTCCCTATACTTGAATGATAAAGGTTTGCCCCAAAGTAGCTTCTGTATACAGTTAACTATACTCTACTGTTGATAATGTAAACAAACTGTAACCAAGCAACCAACTCTCAGCTAATCAAGGCTACTGAACCTCCAACCATTCAGAGACTGAAAGCTGCCAAAACATGACTATATAAGGCAAATGCTTACTGCAGACAATCAGTTGTTTCTGAATGTTATTTTCACTGAATATAAATACAGCTTTCAGCTATGTTATGTGCATATGGTGGGAAGGGGCATGCTGAATGAACTTTAATCTGGACTGTTGCCTAGCTATAGAACCTTTTCCATGCTGAAATACTCTTAAATTGAACGCATTTCAGTTAAATTTTATTGTTATTTTGTTGTTGCTGTTGTTTTGGTTTTTCTTTTTGTTGTTTTTGGCAGTACTGGGGTTTGAACTCAGTGTCTTGGCTTGCTAGGCTGGCAATCTTACCACTTGAGCCATACCTCCAGCCCTCATCTTAGGTTTTTAGTAATTGCAATGCAGGACACTTGATTATTTCTTTATTATCTATTGCCCTACAATGGCAGAGTTGTATAGTTACAAGTAATGTGGCCACAAGGCCTAAAATATTTATTTAGTGCTTTGCAGAAAAAATTTGCCATAACCTGAGGTACATGATTAACAATTGGACGGCTGTTGTACGGTAGAAATAAATGGCTTATCTCCATGTTAGTAGATTTTCTATTTGCATAGCAATCTACCTATGTAGTTTCTGTATTTTGTGAAGCAGAATCACAGTTGAAATCTCATTGCTACTGGGGAGAATAAATTTATATCTGTTCATATAAAGCATGACTTCTCTGCTTGGTTATTTTGTTGGTGTACAGAGTTAGCTTATCAATTGTGATCAGCCAATATATGAATGCATTATTTGGAGTTAGTTTTTGTTATTTCAAATGTCAGAATAAATTTAGAAAAAAAATTGCTTATGTACACATGAAGCTTATAGGCTTAAGGTAGTTTTTTCTTTCTTTTTCTGTTGTATACATAGAGTGCATTAATTGTCACAAATCCAAACTTAGGTAAGGTATAGCAGTCTATATAATCAATCCTCTTAACAGGTTGTTATTTGACAGGTTTCCCTTTGTGAACTAATGGCATTCCATGACTGGCCCAACTTTCTACTTGAATGGAGGTAATGACCAGGATGTAGTATATCTTTATAGCTTGAGTTCCTTCTAAATTTACATGAGTGGGGGCTTCAGGATGTTGCTGTTAATATTTGTGAACTAATGAATTTTCTTGTGATATTTTAAGGTAGTGAAGTATACATATATTTATGTACACACACACAAACACACACAAATTACATCTTCCCTAATTCTTAAGAGCTTGGCCAGATGATAGAAAAATAAATATAGTCAATGAATATTTGAAAGGTGGTCAGTACCACTCATATTTGAAGAAATGCAAATTTAAACTTTTAGTAAGAAAATCATTTTCACATATAGGATAAATAAAAGTTAAATGTTTGACACCCAGAACTGTTGACCATGCAGGAAAACAGCACCTCCCTGGTTGAGGGAATGTAAATTCATGAAAACACCTTTGAGAATAATTTGGCAGTGTAGTCCTTTGACTAGTCATTCCCACTGCTATGAATTTGTCCTTGGACATATTTTCAAAACATTCAACCATGCAGATACAGTATTCCCATCAACAATGTAAACACAAAAAAAGATGGAAACAAGCCTCGAAGACTTTAGGAATTGCTATGGTTTATACACCCAAATATCCCTGTGCTGGAAACTTAGTCCCAAGTGTGTTAGTGTTGAACTGAAGGGGCCCTTAAGAGGTGGGGCCTAGTGGAAAGTAATTGAGTCATGGGGACTCTCCCAGGAATGAATAAATGCTGTCTTGAGGGAATGAGTCAGGTCTCAAGGGACTAGATTTGTTCCCAAGGTTGTAAATGAACCTGGCAGTTCCCTGGAATCCCTTTTCTACACTCACAGCTTGCCTGTTCATGTGCTTCCTGCTGTTGTAATTTCATCCACCATTTCCATCCAGTATGAAGCTCTCACCAGAGCCAAGCAGATGTGGATGCCATGATCTTGAATCTTCAGAATTATGAACTAAACCTTCTTTTGGAAATAAAGTACCTAGCCTTAGGTATTTTGTTAGAGCAACAAGAAATGGACCAAGACAGGGACCAGACATTGAAATGTGATGTATTCATAGGATAGAATATAGACTTAAAAATGTAAATAATGGAATTTCTTCTGTGTTGAGGATCACAGAATTCAGTGATTTATCACAACTACCAACCAGAGCAGGGTTAGGGGTGTGGCTCAGTGGTAGAGTGCTTGCCTAATATGCACAAGGTCCTCAGGACTATAAAAACAAAACAAATCTTTGGCCTTCCAGCCAAAGATTTCTTGGGGCAATTTCCCCAGAAATAGAATAAAAAGGGCTTCCTCTCTTCCCCTTTTTCCTCATTATCTCAGAGTGGGTACAGGGGGATGAATTATGGAGGCCATTGTTTCCTTAACCACTGGTATAACTATGGCCACTCTTGAGGTCCAACTCCAATACTGAACTCTCTTTTCCAACAAGTATGCTTTACTCATTCTATGATCCCAAGCACTTTATTTCTGAAATACATGCCCCAAATTTTTAGTCTACAATATCATCATCATATATATATATACATATATATATATATATATATATTTTTTTTTTATGATACT